AGGACGAGGGTCTCGGCCTGTTGCAGGGGCATCAGGAGGTGCAAGCAAAACCACCGCCAAACTCACGAGGACGGATTTCTTTCTGTGCCTTTCTCTTTCAGGTCGGCGCAAGGCTCTTAATGTTGCACTAATGCACGTTTTTGTCTGGCTCTTAACTTATTAGGACTCTGAGGTTTTGCTTACATCATGCCAGCCTCACGATTCCCCCGCTGTGTTTGAACCGGCTGCCAAAATACGGACCAGGAGGGATGTGGGCAGTGACATGCAAACCTCCAAAGGCCGTTGGCGTTCATCTCCCAAGGCCAGGCTGCGTGGCAGCGGTGCGGAGCCGTGTATTCCCACCCAGAGTCTTATATTCCCACCCGGGAAGTGCTCTGCTCTGGGCTTTGCCTCGGAGTTCGCTGCTTCAACAGGTATCGAGCAAAGCTCTGCCGCTCTAGAGCCTTTCCTTGGCAATGAGGGGCTTTTTTTGCCTTTCCCCGGTAGCCGGTCGCCCTGCCAAGCTGCGCCCCAGCCCAGAGATGACAAAGTGCCCTTTAGTTAATTGCAGAACGGATCGCCTGGAGTTAAAAGTTCTGATTTATACGACTATGGCTCTAACTGCTCAATAACACGGGCCCGTAATCTACTTTCATTTCAAACAGAAGGGTGATTTATGGGGCAGCATGCCGCTTTAGCTCAGAAATGAGGTGTTCAACATATGCTCTGTTGACATAAATTTGGAATTTATCGCTCCTGTCAAAACTGCCTGTTGGACAAAGGTGCGCATTAAGGCAATAAATGGCTCGGAATAGTTTTCTGTCAAATTTCCTAACCATTGTATTCACTCTGTTTGAGGGGAAAAATATACACTTAAAAGTAATCAAACGGGCAAAAGCCATGCGTCTTGTTTGGCGCGGAGGGGAGGGGGTCTCCTCCCCGCTTCCCAAAAGGGGCGGTGGGGAGGGGCCGGGCAACCAGAGCTCCTTCAATAAAAACAGCAGAAGGCGTTTTTACGCGGGTTTGGAAGCAGGCAGAGCAGGATTTTGCTTGCGGTGGCGGTGGGCCACTTGCGGTGGTTTTTAGGTGCCCGGGCTGCGCCGGTACCCGCACCCCCGGGATGCTCCGCCGAGCCCCCGCGTCCTCCGAGAGCGGGCAGCGGCGTTTGCCACCGATCCCGGCCTTTTCACACAAAGCACCCTGTGGGGAAAACTCATAATTTTTACACCGCGCGGTCTCGCTGGAGTCGCCGTCCCTTTGAAGTGCTTTTTGCGGGGCATTTACAGGCCTTTTTAATTACCGGCAGCTTGCGAGGGGCCAGCCTCCCGCCCGGCTTTTGTTTGCCGGCGCTAGGTGGGGAGGGGGGGGTATCGCCCCACGGTCAGTTTATGTCCCGCCTGGAGAGCCCTTCGCCAAACCTCCGCGCCAGGGCTCGCTCGGGAAGGTCAGTCCCGGCCCTGGGATGCCCCGCC